CAACAGAGATAAAATCAAGCAGATTGTTGGAGAGGCCGATAAGTTTGAGAGTGTTGATGGTGTAGGACACATTGGTGAGAGTGAGAAGCTGAGAATATGTCTCCCCCACGATGTAGTCACTGAAGATAACCTCCTCTGGTTTGCTCATGAATGCCTGCCCCTTGAACTCTCTTTGTACTGTTATCTGTTTCTGGACAATGTTATCTCTTTGTTTCTGCAGCACTTCAGCCATTTTCTGTTGTTCCAGCTTACTAAATCGGGAGGGCTGGAGCTGCTTTTTGGGGGGCGCCGCCTCCCACAGCCCCCTAAACTCTGGTTCTATCAGCACGTCGTCTTTCTCTAAAGAGGTTTTAACTATGTTGTTGGAGGAAGAGACTGCAGTTGTAGTGGGTTCTTCCTCTTCCTCGGACGAAGAGCTGTAACCAACAGTCTGCTCAACCACCTTGTCTTTCTGTACCTCAGCTTTCTGAAGGTAGTTGGAAGTGTATTAAAGTATTATCTTATTTGTTTCATAGATGTTCAACCGACATAAAAATCTGGCATTATTTTACCATCTGATTGCTCAACTGGTATTGTAAACTACCATAACTAATGTAAACTAGAGCTGATCTAGAAAGAAATATTTTTAAACTAGAGCTGATCTAGAAAGAAATGTTTTAAAACTAGAGCTGATCTAGAAAGAAATGTTTTTAAACTAGAGCTGATCTAGAAAGAAATGTTTATAAACTAGAGCGAGCTGATCTAGAAAGAAATGTTTATAAACTAGAGCTGATCTAGAAAGAAATGTTTATAAACTAGAGCTGATCTAGAAAGAAATGTTTATAAACTAGAGCTGATCTAGAAAGAAATGTTTATAAACAAGAGCTGATCTAGAAAGAAATGTTTATAAACTAGAGCTGATCTAGAAAGAAGTGTTTATAAACTAGAGCTGATCTAGAAAGAAATTTTTATAAACTAGAGCTGATCTAGAAAGAAATGTTTATAAACTAGAGTTGATCTAGAAAGAAGTGTTTATAAACTAGAGCTGATCTAGAAAGAAATGTTTATAAACAAGAGCTGATCTAGAAAGAAATGCTTATAAGCTAGAGCTGATCTAGAAATAAATGTTTATAAACTAGAGCTGATATAGAAAGAAATGTTTATAAACTAGAGCTGATCTAGAAAGAAGTGTTTATAAACTAGAGCTGATCTAGAAAGAAATGTTTATAAACAAGAGCTGATCTAGAAAGAAATGCTTATAAGCTAGAGCTGATCTAGAAATAAATGTTTATAAACTAGAGCTGATCTAGAAAGAAATGTTTATAACCTAGAGCTGATCTAGGAAGAAATGTTTATAACCTAGAGCTGATCTAGAAAGAAATGTTGTCTTGTTTTCAAACATACCGTCCCACGGGGCGACTTAGTAAGGTCGATAATGTGCTTGTACTTCTGAGGTGTTGGTTTGTTGTGCCTTCCTTTCAGCCGGTCAGTGAATAGCTGAGGTTGCTGGGTCTTTCTCTTTTCTATCGCTTGTTCCTGCACGTATCAAATAATAATCACAAAAAACTAATCGGTCACTTATAAGTGAATCATAAGTCCTTAATCAAGCACTAATCAGCCAATATGCTTTTTTAAATGTACAAATAATTCTTGACGTTTGCTGGTTCAGTCTACAATACCTCGTTTAGTATTTCTTAAATAATTAACTAAATTAGAAATAAATTATAAATTAAGAAATTAATTAATGACCTCGTTTAGTATTTTGCTTATAAGAGCTGATTTTGCTTCTCGTTGGGTTGACTCGAACTGAGACTTTTTCTGAGATGCTTTTTGTTGCTGTGTAGCCTGGAACCTGCACAAAAAGTGGTGTTAAAATAAAACGGTTATATTGTGTAAAATCACCGCGCCTGATTCTTTATCTGCAGATGAGTTGGACAACCATACCAATTTAGTGACCCTGAGCTACATTTACATTTTACATACTTGTAATCTGGGCAGGGTAACGAGCAATCAGTGAAAAGCATGCACGTTTATAGTAACCGCTGTGTGCAATATGTGTAATATCTTAAATCATGCATCTTACAGACCATATAGTACTGTTCAAATAACGTGATATACTGTACTATTTATTGCATATGTTTTAAATAACGAAAAGCTGTGAATTACAGCCTGTGATCGATAGTAATAACATAATATAAGCATATAACAGATTATATAGATAACAATATCGATAGCAGTAATGTGATAAAATGATCGGTTTTATGCAACTTGCAAATAATTTGATACCGACCATGCTTTTGTATAAGATAACATTATTATAACTGGTCAGACGTCACATAATTAATTGCTTAATTAATTTAAAACTAATTTATATAAATAAACAAATAACCTGTCCTCAGCGCTGACTGCCATCCTCTGGGTCTCCTTCTCCTTCACCATCTTCCTCTTCCTCACTGAGTTCTTCTTCAGCTTATGTTGGGTTTTGTGAAGGTTATCTTTGTACTGGAGCAGCATCTTTACTCTTCTTTCTCCATCCTGTCGCTCCAGCTCCTGCTCCCTCTTCTCTCGCTCCTTCACTCTCTTCCATGTTTCCTTTACATACCTGCCGTTAAAACATTCTTTAGATAATCCATGATACATTCAGAATTTTGTCGCTATTAAAGTTAATTTCACTTTAATTTCACTTTAATTTCACTTAAATTTTCACTTTAATTTCACTTTAATTTCACTTTAATTTCATTTTAATTTCACTTTAATTTCACTTTAATTTCACTTTAATTTCATTTTAATTTCACTTTAATTTCACTTTAATTTCACTTTAAGTTAATTTCACCATCTACATTTCTGATGTGATGTTTATTGGTTAAGGCTCCAAATTAACCTTTGCCCTTCAGCTTGAGCTTTCCTAGCAGCATTAATAGCAGCTTTAGTTCTGTCCTCGTGTTCCAGGTTAACTAGACTCTCTTGTAGCTCATTGTTTATAGCTTGTCTCTCTGCGTTACAAAGGATCTTCTTTTCTCGCTGCTTTCTGACGGTTACATTAGTATTAATACTTAATATATATTAACTGATATTCAAGTATTTTCAAAACGTTTGTACGTTATTTGGCTAAATCATAATGTATCTTGTTATGTTGTGTAATGTATCCTGTTATGTTGTGTAATGTATCCTGTTATGTTGTGTAATGTATCCTGTTATGTTGTGTAATGTATCTTGTTACGTTGTGTAATGTATCTTGTTATGTTTTGTAATGTATCCTGTTATGTTGTGTAATGTATCTTGTTATGTTTTGTAATGTATCTTGTTATGTTGTGTAATGTATCTTGTTATGTTTTGTAATGTATCTTGTTGTGTTTTGTAATGTATCTTGTTATGTTGTGTAATGTATCTTGTTGTGTTTTGTAATGTATCTTGTTATGTTGTGTAATGTATCTTGTTATGTTGTGTAAAGTATTTTGTTATGTTTTGTAATGTATCTTGTTATGTTGTGTAATGTATCTTGTTATGTTGTGTAATGTATCTTGTTATGTTTTGTAATGTATCTTGTTGTGTTTTGTAATGTATCTTGTTATGTTGTGTAATGTATCTTGTTGTGTTTTGTAATGTATCTTGTTATGTTGTGTAATGTATCTTGTTATGTTGTGTAAAGTATTTTGTTATGTTGTGTAATGTATCTTGTTATGTTGTGTAATGTATCTTGTTATGTTGTGTAATGTATCTTGTTATGTTGTGTAATGTATCTTGTTGTGTTTTGTAATGTATCTTGTTATGTTTTGTAATGTATCTTGTTATGTTGTGTAATGTATCTTGTTATGTTGTGTAATGTATCTTGTTGTGTTTTGTAATGTATCTTGTTATGTTTTGTAATGTATCTTGTTATGTTGTGTAATGTATCTTGTTATGTTGTGTAATGTATCTTGTTATGTTGTGTAATGTATCTTGTTATGTTTTGTAATGTATCTTGTTATGTTGTGTAATGTATCTTGTTATGTTTTGTAATGTTATTATACTGCTAGTCCCAGTGAGCTGACAAGTAAACAAATAGGAATAATTTCATATTTATAGATTACAGTATATACATACATATTACATGATTTTAAAAGTGGTTATTAGTGGTCTCAACTTTAATTCTCTAATTTAGAAGAAATCAGGTTGGCAGCCTAATTCGATCACCAAACTCGATATAGTTCTCGGTTATTTTTTATATTTTCCTGACTTAATTGTTTCCAGCTATTTCACGTAGACTTTAACATGGACATAAATTGAATTGTAATATTATAAATTATATTATGATCCTGATTTCTCCGTCTCGGAGCCCTGTAATACTATTATTACCTTTTTTTTAATTCTGTAAATTTTTTCATATCATTCTCATGATATTACCAAACATGAACGTATATTTATTATCTCAGTGAAGTTATGTGTTCCCTTACATTTGATAAACAAAATTCTGACGTACGTTGTGCTAGTATTTATATACTATGTTAACTGTTATATATTATATTTACCGTTATTTACCGTTATTTATTATTTTAACTGTTCAAATTCTTCGTAAAAGTTTTATAGTCAAGGATCTGACGACATTCCCGTCTATATAACTTCCGCCCCGGGGTTTGAGACTTGGAATACCTCAAGGAACCCATTAGAAACAAATTTGGCTTGGGTAGAAATTTTGGCTATGGGGCAGTTTTGCGCAATCGACCACGCCCTTTTTTGGCGCTTTTGCAACTTTAGAATCAAAATAACTCCACTTCTAATTGGAATAAGAAGCTCAGCTTGGCTTTAAAGTTGTTCAGAATCATCACATTTAGGGGGGGTAGAGCATAATTTTAAAGTCAACAGACATCGGGTTGTTGAGTTATGTGACCACACCCTTATTTACCCTCGCGAGTCGTGATTTTCACATTAAATACGAGATATCTCGGCTTCTGATTGAGCTACGTGCTCATCTTGGGCATTAAAATGTTCAGAATCATCCCATTGAGTAGGGTAGACCACAATTTCAAAGTCCTCAGATGTCAGGTTGTTGAGTTATTAGGCCCCAACCTGTTTTTACGCTCTCGCGGGTAGCGATTGCAGCGCTTAAAATCAAAATAACTCAGCTTCCAATTGAAGTTAGGAGCAAAACTCGGGCAGCAAAATGTTCACAATCATCACATTGAGTGGGGTAGAACGTAGTTTCAAAGTCCTCAGACGTCAGGTTGTTGAAGTCAACAGACATCGGGTTGTTGAGTTATGTGACCACACCCTTATTTACCCTCGCGAGTCGTGATTTTCACACTAAATACGAGATATCTCGGCTTCTGATTGAGCTACGTGCTCATCTTGGGCATTAAAATGTTCAGAATCATCCCATTGAGTAGGGTAGACCACAATTTCAAAGTCCTCAGATGTCAGGTTGTTGAGTTATTAGGCCCCAACCTGTTTTTACGCTCTCGCGGGTAGCGATTGCAGCGCTTAAAATCAAAATAACTCAGCTTCCAATTGAAGTTAGGAGCAAAACTCGGGCAGCAAAATGTTCACAATCATCACATTGAGTGGGGTAGAACGTAGTTTCAAAGTCCTCAGACGTCAGGTTGTTGAGTTATTAGGCCCACACCATAATATTTACGCTCTCGCGAGTCGCGAGTCGACACTTAAAATCAAAATAACTCGGCTTCTGATTAGAGTTAGGAACAAAAGTTGGGCATGGAAATGTTCAGAATTATCACATTAAGTGGGGTAGAACGTGGTTTCAAAGTTCTCAGGCGTCAGGTTGTTGAGTTATTAGGCGGAACCCTATTTTTATGCTCTCGCGAGTCGCGAGTCGACACTTAAAATCAAAATAACTCGGCTTCTGATTAGAGTTAGGAACTAAACTTGGGCATAAAAATGTTCAGAATCATCACATTGAGTGGGATAGAACGTAGTTTCAAAGTCCTCAGACGTCAGGTTGTTGAGTTATTAGGCCCACACCATAATATTTACGCTCTCGCGAGTCTCGAGTCGACACTTAAAATCAAAATAACTCGGCTTCTGATTAGAGTTAGGAACAAAAGTTGGGCATGGAAATGTTCAGAATTATCATATTAAGTGGGGTAGAACGTGGTTTTAAAGTTCTCAGGCGTCAGGTTGTTGAGTTATTAGGCGGAACCCTATTTTTATGCTCTCGCGAGTCGACACTTAAAATCAAAATAACTCGGCTTCTGATTATTATTATCTAACTTTTAAAACAATCTCGAAATAGTAAAGAAACATCTTAAGAGACTGATAAGTGCCCAAAAAAACATAACAGTTCTCTGAAAAATAAAGGTTAATTATGAGGTAAATAATTTTCTCCACAAAACTCTGTTAGAGGCAGTAGCCCTAAGATCATAAAGATCATTAATATCACGTAATGGTAGGTTTCTTTTATTCAAATCATTTATAATAAACTTTAAAAGATTACTTTGGTGTCGACCAACACGTCCTTTCATGGTAAATAACGCATTAACAGCAAATTGAAGAGCTCTCTGAGCTGGTGATGAGCAGTCACTGCGAAGGACATGTCCCAGCATTTTCCAGCGAGCATATGTCACTCGCTCTGACAACGGTGTTACACCACAGCGTTCATATAGTGCTTTATTACTGATAATAATGGGATAAGTCATCTTCAATATTTGACGCAGGTGTCTTCTATGACATGCATCAAGTTTGTCAAATAGGTTCTGAGGGGTAGCCCAGCTATTGCAGTTATAGAGCATAACAGATGTAACGTATGCTTCGTATATCTTAATCTTGGTCTTCAGATTAATCTTAGATCCTTGCATCCAAACTTTCTTGTATTTTTCGAATGCAACATTTCCAAGGATTATACGATGCTGTATGTCTTCTTTACTACATAGCTTAGAGCCTAGGGACACACACTTCCTCCAAGGTTCTCTATTTCTTAGAGGTTCTCCTTTTTCGTCCTTCTCACTACTTCCAGCCAGATAACACTTTACAAACTCGGTTTTAGATTCATTTACAAACAAATTCCATTCTGAGAGAATTTCCTTGCAAATTGGAAGGAGCTGGTGTAACGAATCCTCATCTTCATCAGCAAAGTCCACATCATCAGCATATTCCCATTCTAAAGGAAGGGAGCTTTCAGATATGGGGGGATTTGGGCGTAGATGTATAACAACAACTCTAAGGTGGTAGAGTGCTCCAGCTAGGTACATGGTAAACAGCGAGCCAGACAAACAGTCACCTTGAAAGGCTCCTATTGTGACTTCGAACTCTCCCGATGTCGTCTTTTTGATCTTAATTCTGAGCTTGGTGTTAGCGAGTAGATATCTAACTAGTCTTATGTCATCTTCTGAGCATCCTGCATCTTCGAGTAGCCTGAGGATAGTTGACCGATGTATTGTGTCGAAGGCTGATGACATGTCTATCCCCATTTTACTAAACTCCCAATGTTTCTCCTTGACAACAGAAATAAGAACCCTTTGTGTCCAGACAATATTAGAGCAGCTGTGTCCTGATTTATAGGCATTCTGCCATGGCCCAGTGTAGTCTGCTATCTGTTGTTGAATACGCTGGAGTGTTATCATGGAAAGGATTTTCCTAGTTCCATTGAGAAGGCATAAGGGACGCAGACTCTTAACTGGTCCTTTTGGTTTTCCAGGCTTCTGTAGGGGGGTAAGATATCCCTCAGTGAACGATTGAACGTGCTCTTGTTTTTCAAAGGACTCATTGATAAGTGATGCAAACTTCATGTAGAAAGAAGGAGGTGCATACTTAAGGAATTCGTTAGGGAGGTTGTCAGGACCAACGGCTTTACCGTTCTTTAGTTTCTTGGCTGCTGTCTCAACTTCAAGTGCAGTTATAGGCGTATCTAATGGCTTAGCAGCTCCAACAAAAGGTTCTAGTGGGGGTTCTGGGCCTGTGTAATGTTCCATGAACCAGTTCTTGACTATGTCTGCCTTATCTTCGTCATTGAGAGCAAGTTCTTCTGTTTCTGGTAGGAATACTGAAATAGGAGGAGTGTCCTTTGTGCTTGAAATTGCTCTGGTTGCTTCGAACATTCTTCTGGTATCATCAGTGGAGTTGATCGTCTCAGCTAGAAGGTCGGCATGAGCGGTTTCAAGTGTAATAAGGCGCTTTGCAATGTCATTCTTGAGTCTGTTGATTTCCTTACGCAGGATAGTTCTGTCACGCATTTTGTTGTCGTTTAAATGTTGTAGTAATTGGTGTCTCTTTTCTGACATAGAGACGACTTGTGGGTCTGATGTTCTGTGACGTTTGGCTGTGTTTCTTTTCATACCCACTGTTTCAGATGCAGCAATTTTAACCGCCTCGAAAAGGTTGTTAAAACTTTCAGTGACTGACTGGGCAGATGTATCAGTTTCAATCTTCTGAGCAGCATTTTGTTGAAAAGAACTTTGAACATCTTTGCTACAAACCAATGAGTTGGTGTTATACTGCTTGACTTTGTGTTTGGCAGTACTGTAAAGTTTGTAACGTTTACTGAGGTCAAAAGTTGCTTTTACAATTTTGTGATCAGATTGAAGTTTTGCACCAGCGTAAGACCTAGCGTCAACAAGCAGAGGGGTACTTCTAGATCTACATAAAACATAATCAATTTAAGAAAACCAGGGTACAGACTTTTTGGATCTACGGTCTTTAATCCATCCTGCTTCTGATTAGAGTTAGGAACTAAACTTGGGCATAAAAATGTTCAGAATCATCACATTGAGTGGGATAGAACTTAGTTCCAAAGTCCTCAGACGTCAGGTTGTTGAGTTATTAGGCGGAACCCTATTTTTACGCTCTCGCAAGTAGTGATTCTATGCTTAAAATCAAAATAACTCTGCTCCTGATTAGAGTTAGGAATTAAACTTGGGCATAGAAATGTCCAGAATTGTGAACATTTTTATGCCCAAGTTTAGTTCCTAACTCTAATCAGAAGCCGAGTTATTTTGATTTTAAGTGTCGACTCGCGACTTGCGAGAGAGTAAATATTATGGTGTGGGCCTAATAACTCAACAACCTGACGTCTGAGGACTTTGAAACTACGTTCTATCCCACTCAATGTGATGATTCTGAACATTTTTATGCCCAAGTTTAGTTCCTAACTCTAATCAGAAGCCGAGTTATTTTGATTTTAAGTGTCGACTCGCGACTCGCGAGAGCATAAAAATAGGGTTCCGCCTAATAACTCAACAACCTGACGCCTGAGAACTTTGAAACCACGTTCTACCCCACTTAATGTGATAATTCTGAACATTTCCATGCCCAACTTTTGTTCCTAACTCTAATCAGAAGCCGAGTTATTTTGATTTTAAGTGTCGACTCGCGACTCGCGAGAGCGTAAATATTATGGTGTGGGCCTAATAACTCAACAACCTGACGTCTGAGGACTTTGAAACTACGTTCTACCCCACTCAATGTGATGATTGTGAACATTTTGCTGCCCGAGTTTTGCTCCTAACTTCAATTGGAAGCTGAGTTATTTTGATTTTAAGCGCTGCAATCGCTACCCGCGAGAGCGTAAAAACAGGTTGGGGCCTAATAACTCAACAACCTGACATCTGAGGACTTTGAAATTGTGGTCTACCCTACTCAATGGGATGATTCTGAACATTTTAATGCCCAAGATGAGCACGTAGCTCAATCAGAAGCCGAGATATCTCGTATTGAGTGTGAAAATCACGACTCGCGAGGGTAAATAAGGGTGTGGTCACATAACTCAACAACCCGATGTCTGTTGACTTTAAAATTATGCTCTACCCCCCTAAATGTGATGATTCTGAACAACTTTAAAGCCAAGCTGAGCTTCTTATTCCAATTAGAAGTGGAGTTATTTTGATTCTAAAGTTGCAAAAGCGCCAAAAAAGGGCGTGGTCGATTGCGCAAAACTGCCCCATAGCCAAAATTTCTACCCAAGCCAAATTTGTTTCTAATGGGTTCCTTGAGGTATTCCAAGTCTCAAACCCCGGGGCGGAAGTTATATAGACGGGAATGTCGTCAGATCCATGACTATTAGTGTGACTCTCAATAGTTTCATTAAAGTTTCATTATAAGAATATTATGACCTCGAATTTCGTTCGTAACATAATTTCAAGTAACATTGCCATTTAAACTGTTCAGAAAGATCAGAAATTTTCTTGGAAGAATCATCAAATGGAACTTAATAACAGTACTCGACTTTACTTTATAATGTGAATTATTACATCTACTATCAGTAATACGATTAATTATATATAGTACAATTTAAAACATTTATATCTGTAATATTATCATTAATTTACAAGTTTCTATTTTCCCCAGAGATTATGAAAAAGCAAGACCTTCTGCTATTGCTATTGCTCAATATATTTGGAGTTATTACAAGTAAAGTAGCATGGCTTATTAGCATAAAAACCGGGGGTCACCGGGCTGTTAACAAAATCGCCACAAAGTACAATCTAGTTAATAGAGGAAACGTAAGTAAAATGTCATATTTTGTAACCTTAATTTGTGGTCGTATTCATTTCAGCAATATTCACGCCAGCTTTATGAACATTAAATATTTTTTTTTTCCATTGTTCATTAAAGATAAACACTGGCCTCGCAATTTGAGTTACCGCGAAACATAATTTATTTGCGATAAATAGCCCAAACATTTTACCAAATAATTTTTCAGAGAGGGAGTCTAGAGCACGTGTTTCTTCTGGAGACAAGATCAGATGACGAATATTGGAGAAGACAGAGACGAGACCTGCAGAGAGCGGAGGAAGTGCACAATATCACAAACCTGCTATTCCACGAAAAAGGAGTCAGATTTGCACAATACAACAGAGAACTTTCCAGAAAAACCAGAGCTATTTTCAATCCGGACGAGTGTTGCGATTTTAACGATCCGCACTTTAGTAAACAGTGGTATTTTAATAACAACCGGCGATTTTCCACTGCTCGGTTGTTACTCATGAATATAGAGGGAGTTTGGAAGCAAGGGATAACAGGAAAAGGAGTTAAAGTGACCATTGTAGACGATGGAGTAGAAAAAACACACGATGATCTGAAAGATAACTGGGATCCTGAAGCTAGTTACGATTTCAATAACAACGATTTTGACCCTTCTCCGAATTACGGACACCCAGAAGTCAACTTCCACGGGACACGTTGTGCCGGACAAGTGGCTGCCTCCGCAAACAACTCAAAGTGTGGTGTTGGGGCAGCATTTGGCGCGAGTATTGGGGGGATACGGATGATGGATGGCGTGGTTACTGATGACACTGAGTGTCAGAGTCTGGGTTACAAGAGGAACTACATTGATATTTACAGCATGTCCTGGGGACCTGATGATGATGGAAGAACTGTAGATGGTCCTTACGGTTGCACCAGGACAGCTCTAAAAGAAGGAGCAAGGAAAGGACGGCACGGTAAGGGCTCTATCTACGTGTGGGCTAGTGGAAATGGGGGAGGAGCTAAAGATGACTGTAATGTAGACGGGTATGTCTCCAGTATCTACACTATCGCTATCAGTGCAATCTCTTCAAAACACCGCCCTCCAACTTACAGTGAGCTCTGTGCTTGTACTCTGGCTTCAACTTATTCCTATAGTCACGTGAGAACAGATAGGATGTTCACCACTGATATACACAATACTTGCACAGGCGGGCACACTGGCACTTCAGCTGCTTCTCCTATTGCAGCTGGTATCTTAGCTCTAGTATTACAAGCAAACCCCGCGCTAACCTGGAGAGATATGCAGCATGTTATTGTGAGGACTGCGCACAGTCACTCAATTGATAGAGAGAATCACTGGACCACCAACGGGGCCGGTCACAGATTTCATCCTAAACTTGGCTTCGGAGTTCTTGATGCAACAAAAATGGTGGACTTAGCTCGAAATTGGGCAACAGTTGCTGCTCATCGGAGATGTGCGGCCCTCACAGCCACTAATCCTAACCTTCCTGTACGTCCCCAACGGTCACTGAGGCTGAGGTTAACAATCTTCCCAAAGTATTGCAGGGGGAGCGGAGTGTTTGGAGATTATCTTAACAAGTTGGAACATGTCCAACTGTTCCTGACAATCAGCACACCCCGTACCAGAGGAGACGTGGTGGTGAGATTAACTTCTCCCAGTGGGACCACTAGTAACCTTCTCAGTAAGAGACCTTATGATAGGGGAGGTAGTCGCTGGAATGCAGGCTTTAAAAACTGGGGCTTCATGTCAGTTCACTTCTGGGATGAGGCCCCGTATGGGAGGTGGTCACTTGAAATCACCAATGTAGACCAGAATCAAAGTAATGTGCTCCGACCAACAAAGCTGAAGGCGTTTAAACTGATATTCTGGGGGTCTGGGGGAGGGTCCCGTGGGACAAGTGGAGGACACAAAACTGATAATAGTGTAACATCGAGCCCTTTTCTAGGCTTCACCTCTTCTAATACAAAGCCCATAACTGGAAATATCTACGACCAGAGAGACAACCTCACATAATATAATATTATACTTAGAATACTGAATATTTTACTAACTTTTAAAGATGTATGTCCAATGTACGTATAAATGTATGGCGATGGAGTTGATTGATCATTGGCCGCAAAGAACGAAAAAACGAAAACATAATGTCAGATCATACTTCATAGGAGCTGATAATGTTAATTAGAGAGTCTCCCGCCCCAATTTTTTATAAACCAATTCTACAATAAAATACAAATGACCAACCTCTCATGCATTAGGTTAGACTTGACATCAGCCAGTGTCTTCTCCTTGGTGCTTAACATCAGTTCCAAGTGCTGGTACTGTCCCTTCTCGTGTACTACTTGGTTCAGAGCCAACCTGACGGGTTGGTCTCATACAACTAATGGTAAACATTAGGGTAGACATTAGGGTAGACATTAGGGTAGACATTAGGGTAGACACTAGGGTAGACATTAGGGTAGACATTAGGGTAGACATTAGGGTAGACATTAGGGTAGAAATTAGAGTAGAAATTAGGGTAGACATTAGGGTAGACATTAGGGTAGACATTAAGGGTAGACATTAGGGTAGACATTAGGGTAGACATTAGGGTAGACATTAGGGTAGACATTAGGGTAGATATTAGGGTAGACATTAGGGTAGACATTAGGGTAGACATTAGGGTAGATATTAGGGTAGACATTAGGGTAGATATTAGGGTAGACATTAGGGTAGATATAAGGGTAAACAAGTTTACCTTACTGTCTACCCTTCGTGGTCGGTAAATCTGATATGACTACCCAATAATTTACGGGAAATATTTAACTTTTAAAGATGATAGCCAGATCTGAGGAATGAACGAAAGTTTAAGCCATTAAAAACTGAAAAACTCACTCTTGGGATTTGACGTATTCCTCCAAACTTTTTTCCAGCTGCAACTCAGCCTGTAACTCATTGTTTAAACGATTCTTCAAGTTAGTCAGTCGTTGCACGTTCGGACTAAATAGGGGATATTTGATCAGTGCAATGTCCCAGAACAAATCGAATTAGATTTGGCTTAAATTAACATAAAAGTCATAAATAATAGATAATAATAAATCAAATCCTCTGAAGTTTAATGAATAAGTTAAAGAATTACGATAGCACTCTTTATCGTGAACATGATATTAATAGTTATCTTTTTTCGCTCTTATGTCTATGATAGGTCGATAATATTTGATTTTTGGAGACGAAGCTAGAGTTTCATAATTATAAAATACTAGAAAGGTAATATATAATAATATAATAATCACTAACATGTTCCCCTGACTCGCTGTAATCTCGTTCTCCGTTACAGCTAGCTCTTTTTGAAGACCTTTCTGTCTGCTCCTGCACTGCAATAAAGTAGAGTCTGTGATAAGACAATCAGTACAAGAAACTTGATGGACCATGAAATTAATGTTTAACCTTTAAAGTTTATCGCAGAAAAAGACAGGAGATACAAAGCAACAATAAGATAATTTTGTATACAGGCAGGGTGTCAGATTATTGGAAGTGTTACATATAACATATATTATGATAACAATATTTTTTCAACTTTACCTTCAGAATATCGAAATACAAATTCAAAACTGTCAGTAGACAATTGTCTGAACTTTGTGTTATGAGGCTCTGTGGGTGGGGGGGTGGGACAGAGAGATACGCTTTATGAATACTAGCGTGTTTATAAAGTTCGATTCCAGACTTGGTTAATACATTTATAAGGAGTACGGATTTATGTGGTAATTTTTTTTTTTTTCCGGTGAATTTTTGCCGAAATATTCATTTGACTAAAGTGCACAGCTCGTACCCGTCGAGGCTAGGCATAGCGAAACATATAGAAAACTGTAGATGATGAGAATAAAAGCTCTCTTTCTCGCCCTTAACTGACGCAATAAAATATAGTCGGGCGGACTCCATCTCGGAAATCAGTGGAAGCAGCCGAAGGCCAAGTCTGGCGATATGTAATACCACATTAACGTCTTACTTCGTGGATTATCGACGAAATTACTTCTTTTGAACTTCGTTTGCAGTACTAAACTGTAAGTAGAAAAGATTGCTCTCGAATGATCAAGACTGGCAAGGAACTAATCCTCAGAAAGTCATGTAATTATAGTCTCTAAGGCTTGGGTAAGCTAAAATTTCACGCAAAATTGTCTACACCCTGCTGTATAACAAATAATTTACCTGTTCAACTTCCTCTCTTCCAGTCTACTAGCAACTAGAGGGGCGACGGGGGGGGTCTATCCGCTCGAGGCGAGCGCGATTCGGTGTAGTAGCTGAGTGGTAACTGTTGTTTTGCGTGTGCCACTTCAGCCTGGTAGGGTAAAGTAGTGAATACTAGTTATTATATACTAGTACAGCTGTAGTTATATACTATACTACTAGTACACTCAAGTTTATTGGGAATATAGCTCTCTTAAGTATTATAATAGAATATAACTAAATTTCAAACAAGTTCTAACCCCGAGTTTACTTCCCCCCCCCCCCTCCGCCCCCCCCCCCCCCCCCCCCAGTTCTAACCCCGAGTTGAGCTGTTTTCGTTGATGACCGAACTCCTTCTCCTTATGTTCTGTGTACGCGCTCATGTTATCCTCCTCCTCTGAGAAGAAGAGAGAGTCTTCTTCTGAAAATGCATCACTTTCCCACTTCTTCGTCAGTGTCTTGCATATACGGAGTTTTCTGGTTGTGAACTGTAACAAACTTGCTGTCATAATTAGAAATTGGGTTCCCCTGTAGTCAATAAGAGGAACATATAAGATACTGTAAACAATAATCAATATTACACTAGTAAGATACTGTAATGATCAATCAACAACATTTGTAAAATATAAGGCTTTCAAAGCTTATTTCGGTCTGAGAAACAAGAGGTTATCGGTCACGTGTAAAAAAATTCACTTTTAGTTTTATTACGAATTTTAGTTATATAATACGAATTTGATGTACTATATTATCAAATATTTATTCTAAATGGATTTAAAGAACATATTTCACCTATTTCTTCTTCAATGTATTGTTAAACCACTGAGATCCTTCTTGATCTTCGTCTTCTTCATCTTCCAAAGTGTCCATCAATCCCGCATCTTCCACTTCAGCTGCCATAATTCTGCTGTAGAAGTAGTATAGTAATATGCTTCCGTGTTAAAACTTTAACCCGTTTCTTCACATATTTCAAATTGTGGTGTTAAATTTGAAAAATACTTCAATGAGAATTCAAATCGTATTTTATTTGATTAAGATGTATCTTAGCTTGAAATTCTATAACTGAAATATCAATGTTTTTGATGAATTGATGTTATTCTTCTATATGAGACGAAATCGAATAATAACAAAAATTATTGCAATAGCAAAATAAAATCAACAGTATTTATATCATAAACATTGTACATAATATTTATTGAGTGTAAATAAGATCATCATATGTATCATATACCCATGTATAGATCAACAATAAAATATGGGGTACCAAATTCATTTCTAAAATCCACTAGTTAATTAACATAAATCAATTATACTGATAAAATCATACATATCATCTCTTCATAGCACATTCCTAAAGAAGACTAAACCCACTTCTCTGATATCCTCCGACTTTTATTAACTTTCTTTCTGTAGAAACCACGAGATTGTCTCTTAAATCCGTTAATGGTAGGAAGCGAGTAATGACTTGCAGCTGATCTGTCAGGCTCAAACATAAGAGGGTAGGTTACTTTTCTTGGTATTTCAATGCGAGATACTGAACGATTGTTGGAGTTCTCCTGCTGTACAGTGCACTCCTGCATTATAGCAGGTGCTGTTTTAGTTCGCGCTATAGGCGACAATCTAGAGTAAGAAAGACAATCCTGGCCTAGTCATAAAATGTCCTGCTTAGGACAGGGAGACACTTCAATAAGAGCCAGTTTGTATGGAATCTGGGGAGGTGATTCATCTTTCTTTGTAGGGTTTGGAACAGTGAACGACTTTATAGTTGAAGTCTTGAAAACCTCTGGAACTTGTAGATTTTTTGATGCTGATTCTGGGATATGTCAGATGAATCAGTGGTTGTTTGGATGTTGAAGAGTTGGCACTAGAGTTAGCACTGTTAGTTAGCACGCTAGAGTTAGTACTACTGTTATTTGACTTTCTGATTGATCCTGGTTTATTCCTCCGTGTTGGGGCCGATTTTGAGGGTTTTGGAACCATTGCACATTGAATCGGTGATAGTTCACTTCCTCTATTGATAAAGTGTATTCCATTCCGTTTCTCAGGATTAAGCAATGGTAGTTCGATATTACTAAGTGCAGCATCTTTTGCAGCAGTATAAATGAGCTCAAAATTATTTTGGGAAGCTATAGGAAACGTTTTTAAACCAGACACTTTTTTATCGAAAAGTTCAAGACAAATACCTAGTGTCTCGTCAATAAGATTTGGCAAAAAGTCTTGCAAAACAGTACAATGATGGGAGAGCTGGATTTGTATTCACTTCTAAGAGCCAAACATTTAAAGATTCGTCTAACATAAAATCGAGTCCATATAAGTCAAACAATCCTACCTTAGGAACCAAGCTTGTTTGAGCCGACCTAAAAACAGTATATGCTAAAGTTTTCATCCTCTCGTGGAGATCAGTGAACACCCAATCAGGCTTCAGACCAAGTCTCTCTGTATATCCCTCATCATCAAGGTACTTTTGAAACTGTTCCATACTCCAGACAGTATCGTTTTTGAAACCTAAGTAATTTGGATGTTTTTTCTGTAAATACTGATTTGTAAGATGCGTACTCAAATCATCCGACCCATTGTCATATGTATTCAAGGCTAGTCGTAAATACCCACTGTGGAAGAATACATTGTATGGTCTTGAACTACCCACTAGAAGATATACTCTAATGTCGAATTTTCTTCCATTTAGTAGAAGTGGAGAAGCAATGTATCTTTGCACTATTCTGGTTGAATTGCGAGCTTTGTTCTGTTTTTTTCTCCGGTCAATATAATCAACAAGTTCTTTTTTGCCTTTGATGAGAAAGATTCCCTTTCCCTGGTTGGAATTAGTTGGCTTGCATATCCATAACTCATCTTTTCCTATAGTATTTAGGAGTTTCTCTTGCTCTCTACAATCTCCAAGTCGATATGTTTCTGGGAAAAATTTTTTGAATTCACTGGCTGGTTCTTTGAAAGCAGAACTACCAAAATAACTCCTCAGTGAATTCAATAAGCCAGATTTAGTAGTTATACAGCTTGAAGTAGAAATATGGTTGGCTAATTGTTTGCCTTCTTGGAATTTTTCATAGTCTATGTGGGATTTCAGTTCAGTCCACTTCAAATGAAATAAATCTTCGTTTTCTGATAAAACCCAGCCTTTATTAACCAATGCTTTTTCTACAAAGAGTTTCCATTTATTTCCCCCACCAAAAAAAATAACAAAACTTCTTTCCTTTGTCGGGGATGCTTGATACTTGCATGAAACATGTCATAACAAAATAATCAGACTCTTTGCTCACTGTTCTTGCTCAATAGAATCGTTTGACTTTACAATCTCTGTAAATATTTTGGTAATGATAATGAAGACTAAAGAGCCTTATTTAGGAGCATCTATAGATCGATCCTTATGAAGCAGTTTTTATTAGTACAGTAAAGCCCCGATTTATCATTCAGTTTGGAAAAAGGAAAATAGTGCAGTAAATCTGGATTTGGAGTGAACGGTAAGTTAGGGTTTTTACTTTTGAGTCTCCAACGGATTACATGGTTTCTCTCTCCGCGATACTAGTTCCAAATTAGGGGTTATCTTCACAAGCACTTAAGTAAGGGGTAATTAGGGGAAGTAACAAGCCTGACAACTTGCTAGATATCAGAGACCCATCCATTGGCCGTATTTCAAAGGGTTGCCTGGTATCAAACTAAGAATGTAGACATTCTCCAAATATTTTTGGGAAAGGGAAAAGGTACAGTTAATTGGTGGATTACTTTAAATCGGGGTACGTTTAAGTCAGGGTGCAGCAAATCGGGGTTTTATTGTAATAACAGTTCAACAAAACAAAATGTAGATTCACTCCTGAAACTATTATGGGTACCATAGGAGTTTCAGAACGCACAAAGCCCATTATAATTACACAAATCATCAGGATGATAACAGTATCAACCGTCATGAGGTGTTCTTGAAAATTGATTAGATACTAAGATCACAAAATTTACTTTATGACCAACAATGATTTCTGAAAATTTGTGCACAATCAACATTTCTAAACCAATCTGAAGGCGCTTCAGAGATTTAAATCGTCAGGCTTTGTTTTTGACGAAAGTCTCCCCCTCAGCACCAGAATTGTGTGCCACAGCAAGTCGACTCTGAATTGAGCACTAAACTGCAACTCATCTAGTATTGGAAATATGACAAAAACAGTACAAAGTGGTCTATATTGTAGTTTACACGGAAGAGTTTTGAATCCATTTGATCCTTTCTTGATATTAGGGTTTCTTCAAGAAGTATACGAAATAAACAATAACAAGAAGAAATATGAGTATCTAGAGAGAGTGTTGAATGTGGAGAAGGCAACCTTCACCCGGCGCCGGCTGTATTTCTCACTTCTGGAGGTATGTCGAAAGAGTGTAACAAATTGCAACATATAGCAGCACTCATAGCCCGAAGGGGACAGGAAAGGTTCTGTGATGTACAAAGGCATGTAAGAACAGGATAAGAAGGAGTTGGATGACTTCCGCCGCTTCGACGCGCGCGCAACTAGCATTCATGCTTCGCAGAGCAACGATCTCGACGGATTGACATCGTCAATCAAAAGATGGAGTAGAAGATGGGTTTTACAAATTGTGTAGGATACAAGTATACAAGGATACAAGGATAGAAAATGATAATTACTATATGATACACAATAGTTGTAATTCTGAATAATTTTCACAATTCTTATTATTTACAAATGTTTAGGGTTAATTAGAAATTTATCATAATACAAGTAATTAAATCGAGTTTGTATGGTTCAATTTTATTTGAAGCTCGATCCTGTAGCATTAAATTATGCACTTGCAAGTATTTTAGTGGAAATCTGGTCTTTTATAAAAGGCTGTATATTGTTCGTTCACAACGAGAATTGAATGGATTGCTCCTTGTCATACGTTGTATGACCCGCCGCGCACTGTATCGTCACATAGTGAAACGACCGTGGGGGTCGCAACGTGATACAAATTGCTCCTGCTGTGATAGTAAATTTGTTTAATGTTCAAAAATATTGGTACAGTACTCGGTAGCAATTGTCCACTTAACTTCCGTTATCTAGGATACAAGGATACAAGGATACAAAAGTGATAATTATTTATTGGACTCACAATAGTTATAATTTTGAAATAATTTAAAGTTATACAATTATTTACAAGTGTGTAGGGATAAAATATAAATGTTTTATAATACTATATTTCTATGGATTGTGCTCTGCTAATTACAATACTTGAACTGACTTTACTCTACCAATTGCATAGAGCGCGCTTGTTTCACAAGTGAGACGGGTGCGCGCCACTGCAATCGATCACCTAAACCATTGGGATTTTCGCGCCATTTCGGGCGCGCTTGGTTTTACCGCCGTGAAGGACGGGCGCGCCGATCTGCAAGCGCAAGCTCTGATAGAGCAACTGCAATCGCAAGGGCTAGGGCTCTGGATAGAGCAAGCGAAAGCACATGGTTAAATGAATATATGTTGTTTGTCCATTGTTAACGGACTAACCCGGTGCCTCGGGAAAATATCGAAAAAAACTGAAATTGATACTAAATAAAATTGTTGTTTTCTTGAAAAATGTTGTTTTCCTTGAAAAGGGCGCGCGCTACTTCGAAGAAATGTAGACTGAAGACGAGTATCATTCGTCAAGCAAAATAGCTATTTTCAAAGTTACTCACGCTGTATACAGCTTTTTGCCTCTGCACACGACGTTGTAGGCCCACCGTGCACGAGTGCGCGGCTGTATCGTAGCTTTTGCTCCCATACTGGGGAACGACGTAATACAATTTACAAAGGGGCTAAAATCAGTTTTTGATCAAACGCGCTGCTATCTGTACCAATTTGTCGCCAAAAGCAATTTGCAGCGCATTTGATCGAAAACTTGTATTCAGCCTTTCACATAGCCATGTGTCTACGCATACTGCGTGACGCGCTTGTTTCACAACCGAGAGGGCTCTGGTTAGAGCAAATTCAGCCTCTCTATGCCAATAGGATTCCTAAACAATAGAATCCATATACAAGGGATTTTTTTAAATAAGACAGTAACGTTGTTGAGTTTTTTATTTTCTTCAAATTAAGTATTCCAAGTAATTTATATATATGGAAACATTTATTTTAAATACATTGCAAAAAGTTTGATCTCGATTCATGAAGTTTCAAAAAATTTTATGCAATACAAAATATCATCGCATTATGTGAAAAAATATATAATAAATATTTCCCCACCAATATTAGCAACGGTGTTGGAATAAGCACGTGCACGTGCAGTACTGATCGTTGGAACGGCATTTTGATCGGCTTTGTGGTAATTACGTTGTGTTTAATATATTTTACATTTAAACGGTCAACGGTTGTGACAGATATTTTTTGATGCGATTATAACTTTCTTTCAAAAAATACTACTATGTACGAAATTTCAGTTTTCTTTTTCAGTCACTTCATTGACTTTTAGATTCAAGATGACATTAATTAGTTAAAATAAGGCTTAAACTCTGTACTGCTTTCACTAAATCATGTCCAGAGTGCCAAAATTCAGCATATCAGATGAATGATGTAAAAAGACAAAAATTGTCTATTTCTTAATCCATGGGTATGTTAGTCTTAGCTTAAGCATCTATTTCGAAAAGTAATTTGTTCATAAAGGGGACGAAAACAGATAATAATATTAGAGTGCCACTAATCAGCTGTAGTGACTGCTGCAGCCAACGTGGGAATTACCAACTATTGTAAGTCAATATCATCATTATCAATCATCTGAAGCCACCGAATTGTTTATGTTGCAGATATAAATCTTAGTTTAGTTATATCCTGAAAATTTAAACAGCTTATGTGTCCTAGAATTCTGTTACTAATAGGCAGCCAATGAAGGTCTTTCAGAGTGTCTCCTAGATTATTATTAAATCTAAAATAGCTAATAATTTAATAAATTATTAACAGGCCCCTTAACGTGGGCAATAATATACACTTTATAAATTATATAAACAAATTGAAGTCTATTTTCCGATGTTGTTAAGTGTCTCTTTAGATCTGTTTTGGTCTTTCGTGGGAGTTCCCACATTTGTTGGTTGAGAATGCTCAACATAAAATACATGATGCTTGACTGCTTTATTGACCCGGACAGGCACCGGGGGCAGACATCCCAACACCAGTGCGTTGGGACATAGTGTTGGTCTGCTTCATGACGTGTTAGATCCTAGAGAAGCCGCCATCCCCTCTACTGCTTTAGCTCAGCGGCAGCATGAGCCCTGGTTTCCTGCCACATTGGTACCTCTGAAAGTACAGAAAAGTGGTGGATTTCGGGGTCCAGGATACTCCCTCTTTGTTCTTTATGGTGGTAATATTTCTCTGAGATGTTTGCAGAGTCTTTATTTCATGATCTTTCTAGTCGGATAAATCCTGGAGAGCATCATTTTGTCCCCAAAGAAATTCGACTCTCCTAATGAATGCTTTTTGTGTGCTGCTTTTTGAATAGCAAGTGGTATAATAAACTGCTTGGAAAAGAAAAAAGTAAAAATCTTCAATGTCAACGTTCTTTTCTGCTGTTATATCATGTTAACATTTTCATCATTCGAAATTTGTATATTCCTTTATATTTATATAATAGTCTTACTGTAGCTTTAGAGTTTAGCAGCTGCATTCTGAACGAGTTGGAGTTGGTGGATGAGGTTGTCACTAATTCCATAATAAAGAGTATTGCAGTAGTCCAATTTGCAGACGATGATGCTGTTAACAATAAGCTTGAGCTGAGCTTTACTAAAGAGATATTTTCTCCTTATAACATTCCTTAGGAGTCTTAAAGAATGTTTTTTTGAAGGACATGATTCGAGGCTTAAAAAGTAAGATGATGCGATGGTAAATTTGAACACCAAGGTTCTTTGTTGTGCTGACAAATCTGATACAGTTATCATTTGATAGCTTAAGGGGGCCGGGGGGGTCTTCATCAAAATTCTCTCGAAATTGATTTTATAGTTGTTTCTGATAGAAGGGAGTAATATCTATCAGTTGCTTTTGATCCCATGGAAAAATATTGTTCCTAGCCGAAATTATCGCTGGTCAAAGGTCAGCGCTCATGTGTAATTGTACTGCGCGAGCGATTTTCAATCGCGCTTTCTGAAAATCGAGTCTAAAAATCTATCTTCTCCTACATTTTTTAAGCAATCACCCTGAAACAAGTGTCGAGCCGAATTTTGAGATAGGCCTCAGAAAATTTTTAAATCGATTTTGAAAATCTTGGACCTGGTAAAATCGTCAAAAAATGAGGTCCAAGATTTTCAAAATCGAATTAAAAATTTTCTGAGGCCTATCTCAAAATTCGGCTCGATACTTCTCTTGTAAATGATCCCTAGAACATATCCTGAAAGTTTCAGGGTGATTGCCCAAAAAATGTAGGAGAAGATAGATTTTTAGACTCGATTTTCAGGACGCGCGATTGAAAATCGCTCGCGCAATACAATTACACATGAGCGCTGACCTTTGACCGGCGATAATTTCGGCTAGGAACAATATTTTTCCATGGGATCAAAAGCCACTGATAGATATCAGAAACAACTATAAAATCAATTTCGAGAGAATTTTGATGAAGACCCCCCCGGCCCCCTTAACTCCCCCTATACTATACTGAGCTGATTTAGAACTTGAGGTGAGGCGATGGATAAGTATTTGTGTTTTTCCAGGATTAAGTTGAAGGCAATATTCAACCATCCAGCGCTATATGGTCCTAGCGCAATTCACAATTTCGATGCCCAGAACATTTACCTGATCACAAGGTTTGAAAGTTTTGTATACCTGGTGGTCATCTGCATATCCCTGCACATTGAATCCAGATTTCTCGATGGTCTTATACAGGGATCTGATGTATATGTTGAATAGCACTGGTCCTTATACTGAACCTTGAGGTATACCAAATATATAAACTGTGCCTTTTTAAATTTAAATTTAAAACCCAATGAAACATATATTTTTGCTTCATATGCTAATATATTTGACTGTACATTCAATTGAAAGTGATTTTGGGATAATTAGATTGGATAGTCTTCCCTGATATGAGTAAAGAAAGATTTTTGGAAATCTAGGTAAACTATAGGTAAAAATATAATATTAATCATAAGCTAAAATGAACTAATCTTTGTATTCTAAATGGGGAAAAGAAGAAACATTGTCAGTCAGTCGAGAAAATTGTCAGTCAGGCTATTATATGGCAGTTAGTTCAAAAAAACAATTTTTACGACCAAGTTAATTATATTGGCATATCACCAAAATTTGCAAAAAATATACAAGATAGTATCAAAATTTTAGCAAATCTTACATCTATAAAGCGAGACGATATATACTGACACCATGACATCAACTTTAACACGACTTTCCGCGAAAACCGTGAGAGATATATCATTGAAACTTTTTGGCTGGGTCGAATGCTTTCATGGCCTTTTGACCAGTATGAAAAAATTAAAAATTGGCCAAGAAATAAGAACTTTAGGTCCCGAAATTTGGACCCCCAAGTGGTGTCAAAATTGCTAAATAAATAAATATTTTTGCGACACCACTTAAGGGTTAGACGGGTTCCTGCCAGTACAGGGTGGGCCAAAAGTCAGTGGGCATACATTGGCCTTAATAGCTCCGCCGTGTTTTATATTTGAGAGCTGTTGCTTTGCAGATGGCATACTGTACTTACTGGTTCGAGGATTCTGACGTCAAAATTTGAAAATTCGAATATTTTAGACCACGCCCATTCAATATTAAAACACCTATATTGTTTTCTCTGAACATGCTGATTGCTGAACGCCTAATTTTTTCAGAGACGGTAGATTATTAAATGTTGCATATGATCTGAAAACATGAGGCAAAACGGATTAGAAATGACGAAGTTATCAAGCATTTTCTGTATCTCATTAACAAAATTGACTGGGTGATTATGTGACACCGTGACACGACACCTTAATTGGGCACCCTTAACAATTCCCATAATGTTTAACGGGGTGGATAACGGGGTCACCTAATCACGTGATTAGGTAAACCAATCAACTGATCACACGTAATGAATAAACTCGTTATGCTTCATATCTCGGTCATCTGAGAAGCTACAGTTCTAATTTTTTCAGGACAAACGAATGGCCAAATACAATTCAATAAAATTTAGCTCGATCCGACTATCCAAACTATCAAATAAATGCAAAAATGAATCTTCATTTGAAAAAAATGAACCTTCATATTTTTCAATTTGACAAATTCCTCGAACCAGTGGTGGTAGTAAGTCATACCAGAAAGAATTATTTCAATTGGGCACTTAGTGACTGAGGTATTAAGGCCAACGTATGCCCACTGACTTTTGGCCCACCCTGTATATTTAAAGTGGTCAACTGAGAATAAAATTCCACAATTTCGAAGGAACATTTTCCATATTTTGTAGGTTTATAACCTACCAAGATGAGCGACGAGATGGACTCGTCGACGGTCTTTGGAACAAATATTTTATGAGTATCACCGTTAATCCATATTGTGCGCATGTAGCAATACAATTTATTTGCGACTAAACAAAAAGCAGTTGAGGCCTTCAACAAACAAACACTCCTTGACCTTTACTTTGGACTTTGTTGATCAGGTTAAAGTCCAAATCATGTTGATCAGGTTAAAGTCCAAATCATGTAACCCATGATAGAGATGATATTTCTTTAAATTTTCCTTCCATCAAAGTTTTCTCCGGATATACAGCCTCCAGTACCTTGATGGCGACTTGTGTCACTCTCATCGACCTCACTGATTGTAAACTGGTCAAAAATTCAGTCAAAACCCCGAAATTTCGGTCAAGGAGACGGCAGAAAAGCTTCTCTTCCAAAATCTTCCAAAATATATTTTGACAATTCTGACGATTTTCCGTTTATCAAAGCTTTATTCTAGAATAGAACTTTCAGAACCTCAATCGTGTCTTGTGCTATTCTCAGTAAACTTGCTAGATGGTCATTCAAGACAAATTTAGCCAAAGCAGTGAAATTTGGGTCGCAGAAAGCTGAAATCTGAAAATTTCCTACCAGTAGGACATCTTCAAACTTTTCCTTCCATCAAAGTTTTCTCGAGACATACAGCTTCCAGTACCTTGATGGCGACTTGTGTCACCCTCACCAATCTCACTGATTGTTCACTGGTAAAAAATACAGTCAAAATTGGATCAAGGAAACAGCAGAAAAACATATACTATTTAAAAATCTTCCAATTATGTATTATACATCTCCTTCCTTTCTGATGATTTTCCGTTTATCATATTTTTTTCGGTAATCTAACTTTCAGTACTTTAATTGTGTCGTGTGCCATCGACAGTGAACCGATTGATTGGCCAGTGATCAAATATTTTTTGAATGGAATATTTTTCACTAATACATGGATATAATTGATTAATTATTAAATTACTGTACTATGTGCACTATAATTTCCTCCTAGGTATGTTTTATGAGAAACAAGGAAAGAGAGATAATCGGTCAGTATTCAAGATATTCGGCCTGGGATACAGGTTAGTTAACAAATGTATGAATGTAGTAGTATATCACCTCCCAATTTAAACCTTTTATGTTTCCGTATCACTTTAAGTCGTTTTTTAAAAAAATCGGAATTTGGCTGCTCCGTCTCAATAACAATTTATGTGAATCTACAGAAATTTAAAGCAATGTAAGTCTTACTTTGTTGAACTCAAATTACAGTTTTAATATGAATATAAATAACGTTAAAGTACAAGATAGCTTCTGTAAGCCCATTATAACCTGTTCAGTGTTCAGGGAGGTTGAGGGGAGGTTACTGTTATCTCTTCACAATAGCCAAGTGTAAAATGGCTTGCGGAGGGAGGGGGCAAACCAACCCGCAGGTTAAACCATTCTAAACAAAACAACCAGATTCTAGGACGCGTACCCAGCGTATATATAAACTGTTTCCAAGCAATTTGAATTAAATGTGAAATCCGCAGTATTTTATATATTACTATATGGAGCGCGCTGTGACAAAATTTTATAAAGACTACATTTTCCGCCAGCTAGGGTAATATTAACGAGTACGCCGCGCACACGCGTTTTTAGATAGCAACCGAGCAAATTTAAAATACTAACTTATCTTTTGTCCTATGTACTATGCTATCTGTTGTCCTATACTATCTTAAATCTTTTCTTCTATGCTCACGGGTAAGATAAAATATTTGTCTCCTCTAAGTTTCAATGAAACAGTGTACATTGATAAATCCGACAAAATCTCATGATTTTTATAAAGGACAGTGATACAAATTACGGTTACTTGTATTTTATGATATCATAGTGGTCGGGACTCGAGTGTTTCCATCATGAGCTGACTCCTCCATAACTAACAATTGTTTTATTTATGGTAGTGTTAAAATATTACCTTGACCGATATGATGTCAGCACACCTGTCCTGGCAAGGTAAGCAAACCGAAAATGATCATGATCTCTCTGGAAATCTTATATTTTGGTTGTGGTATTCCAGGCCAATTGATTTCTGTTAACTTCTCACTTTTATCATGTCCTTTTAATTGCCTTTTCACGGATATACTTTTAACCGCACACGTGCACAATATATTATGTGTCACGTTTATAACGACTCCTCGTTCATTTCCTACTCTGAACACTTCTTACAGTGCTATTGATAATTAATATAACTTTAAGAACTGTTAACTTCACCCGCTGAATGTTACTTCTGTTTACATTGCAGGGAGCAATTTAGGTTTACATTAACCATGCGTCTAATATTTACACATCTAGTATCTACTGTTAGCTATTACACCCTATTATCACTGGAAATGGTCAAAATGAAACTTTATTTCATCCCACTTGAGGAATATTTGTAAACAAGATCGCTTAAACTTTCATTAATCAGCTAACTCTCGATTTACAACGCCGTAAAAGCTGTATCTTGCTTGCTTGTCGGTTGAATTTACTCAAATAGTACGAGTTGTACTTCTGATGTTAGTCAGAATGCACTCCTTAAAGCAACAATGACATTTCTCGCCTGTAATCTCCACTGCAGTGTATTCTGAGCGATTATCCCTTTTGTACACGGGGCATATTGTTACTGTATAATATTGTCACTGTAGTCTCGCTGAGTATCCCTCTCTTGTTGCCTTTATAAGCTACTAAACTTAAGAAAATGCTCAGATTTGTAGTTTAAATGGAACTCTAGAGCAGAAACTTGATGTAAATTCTGGCATTGTTTAATTGTTTCGAGATTAAATATTTCCATTCGACATTGAATAGTTGCTAACTAGTGATCTTGGAGCTACAACTAATATCTTATTTCAAATTCAATTACATGCGGTTGTACTCTTTCACAGCATAGGGATTGAATAGTTTACTGTAGGGCGAGTTAGTTTGGGGTGGACATATTTTACAGCATATGTTATACCTCTATGCTTTAATTGGAATAATTCTCATTTTGACTTTTGTAACACTGTAACAGCCGTCTACATTGGTTTTCTACACGTAACCTATGAATACTTTCAACATTGATAATTAATAATAATTATGTATATTAAACTCCCTCCCTTTAGCAGCTCGTAACATGGCAATGGGAGAAAGTTACCTAGTAGCTGGCATACTACTAACATTTCCCCTAGCCCTGTTCTACCGCTATCTCCTCACCCCTTACACCTCTCCCAAACACAAGGATATATTTCTAACCGTCACCGGACTAGCTCTCTACTTCTTCTGTTTTGGAGCGGATGCGGGACATGTTGTTATGATGACCATGTGTAGTTACCTGTTCATGATGGTGTGTGGTGTTGGAGCTACTTCCTGTATAGTAGTGCTGCTCTCTAGCATGACCCACCTGTTATACGGGTATATCACAGTGTCAGGTGTTAGTTACACTGTTACCTGGACTCTCATACACTGCCAAGCTCTCCTCAAAGTGGTGGGTTACTTTTTAGATCTGTTAGATGAACAGAAGGACGCTCCTGAAAGTTTTGTGGCCTACACTGCGTATGTTTTCTTTCCCTTCACAAGTTTAGTGGGACCACAGTTCCAGTACTACCGTTACAAGAAGTTCAGGGAAACTACACAGATACCCAACTCGTGGGGCTACAGTCTAAAACAAGCAGGAATAGGTGTCATCTACATTGGGGTGTTCTACGGTATCAAACAGTTCACTTCTTCTAACTTCATCATCTCTGAAGAATTCCTGTCTTGGAGTCTCCCCACTAAACTTCTCTTCATCACGTTCTGGACCAAGTGGTTGATAACTAAGTACTGTGCTATCTGGTGTGTATCCGAGTCAGCAGCATGTCTGGCAGGTATGGGGGAGCAGGAGGGGGGAGGGTGGGACGGAGTTGTTAATGTCGAGGTGGTCAAGTTTGAGACGTCCCTCACTATCCAGGAGGAGCTGAGTAGTTTCAATATACAGACTCACCAGTGGGTTAAGAGGAATGTTTACAAGCGATGTAAAGTGTTCAACAGTCCCCTCTTGTCACGTGTCATCTCCCTCACATTCCTTTACCTCTGGCACGGGGTTTACGTCGGCTTCCTCAACCTGTTCGTGGTTGAAGCGTTGGGAATCTCCACGGAGGAGGCGCTCAACAGATACATATCTCGAGATAAGGTATCCAGATGTGTACCAGGCTGGTTGATAGCCAGTGTGCAGTATGTCCTAAAGAACATGTGTGTGGGGTACGGGTTGTGCGGGTTTGCTCTCAGGACACCAGCTAGGTGTCACGTGTTCTATAGCAGTGTGTATTATTGCTTCCACTGGGGTATGGTACTGTGGCTTGTTGTGGAGATGGGGGTTTTGCGAGGACGCTATAAGAAGGACAAGTCTACTTAGCAGGGGTTTTTAGTTTTTAGTTTTTAGTTATCTTGACTGAGTCGCTTTTATAACTTGTGTTTGCTTTTTTAGAAACTCATTGTAAACAAATTGTTAGCATATTGATTAGTTTGTACAATGTACTTGTATGATAGCGCCATATATATTTTACATTTACTTTTAGTACAATATTGAAATTGTTCGATACAGAAAAAAAACGATTGCATTGATTTATTATACATGCCTACAGAATTTAATTGCTTTTAGTAGTGTTTATATTACTTTAATTTGGACTTTGCTGGTTTTACCTCGTTGTTTTATTTATATATACCACCTATACTATATACCTAATTCAAACTGATTCACAACAGTGAAATTTTAACTGTGAAGAAATAACTATGAAATAAAATTAGCTAATGGAATAGGGAATAATCGGTATTACTGCTGCCCCCCCCCCCCTACTGTGATGTGAACACGGCTGAATGTTTACATTACACCACTATACGGTATTACTGCTGCCCCCCCCCCCCCCCTACTGTGATGTGAACACGGCTGAATGTTTACATTACACCACTATACGGTATTACTGCTGCCCCCCCCCTACTGTGATGTGAACACGGCTGAATGTTTACATTACACCACTATACGGTATTACTGCTGCCCCCCCCCCCCTACTGTGATGTGAACACGGCTGAATGTTTACATTACACCACTATACTACTATAATACTTTGTAAGATCTGTGAGGTCATCACGTGAGGGCCCCACTAAACCAACTATTGCAGACGTTAAACATGTCCCCAATAATAGGACATGTTACTGGTTCTATCCGAGCAAGAAAAGACAAGTTTTACTTTCCTAACCTCCCTACCTGAACAAGTTTACCCTGATCTCGTTAAAACAGCTCTCTCTCAGCTACTGTCTACTAAACAAATCACTAAAGTGGTTAACAGCGCTGCTGCTAAACTCAAGGTTTGAGAAACTGCTGCCCCTCCCCCCCCCCCCCCCCCCCTAACTACTGCCTCCCCCCCCCCCCCCCCCCCATAACTGCTGAACTTTTAACTGACACTAGAATCCTCCCAATCCTCCGTACTGGTTACGTTCTTGTTTAACAGCTCACTTTGTATTGCAGGTAGAGGTTGCTAGTCTCACTAACAGCTCACTTTGTATTGCAGGTAGAGGTTGCTAGTCTCACTAACAGCTCACTTTGTATTGCAGGTAGAGGTTGCTAGTCTCACTAACAGCTCACTTTGTATTGCAGGTAGAGGTTGCTAGTCTCACTAACAGCTCACTTTGTATTGCAGGTAGAGGTTGCTAGTCTCACTAACAGCTCACTTTGTATTGCAGGTAGAGGTTGCTAGTCTCACTAACAGCTCACTTTGTATTGCAGGTAGAGGTTGCTAGTCTCACTAACAGCTCACTTTGTATTGCAGGTAGAGGTTGCTAGTCTCACTAACAGCTCACTTTGTATTGCAGGTAGAGGTTGCTAGTCTCACTAACAGCTCACTTTGTATTGCAGGTAGAGGTTGCTAGTCTCACTAACAGCTCACTATGTATTGCAGGTAGAGGTTGCTAGTCTCACTAACAGCTCACTTTGTATTGCAGGTAGAGGTTGCTAGTCTCACTAACAGCTCACTTTGTATTGCAGGTAGAGGTTGCTAGTCTCACTAACAGCTCACTTTGTATTGCAGGTAGAGGTTGCTAGTCTCACTAACAGCTCACTTTGTATTGCAGGTAGAGGTTGCTAGTCTCACTAACAGCTCACTTTGTATTGCAGGTAGAGGTTGCTAGTCTCACTAACAGCTCACTTTGTATTGCAGGTAGAGGTTGCTAGTCTCACTAACAGCTCACTATGTATTGCAGGTAGAGGTTGTTAGTCTCACTAACAGCTCACTTTGTATTGCAGGTAGAGGTTGCTAGTCTCACTAACAGCTCACTTTGTATTGTAGGTAGAGGTTGCTAGTCTCACTAACAGCTCACTTTGTATTGCAGGTAGAGGTTGCTAGTCTCACTAACAGCTCACTTTGTATTGCAGGTAGAGGTTGCTAGTCTCACTAACAGCTCACTTTGTATTGCAGGTAGAGGTTGCTAGTCTCACTAACAGCTCACTTTGTATTGCAGGTAGAGGTTGCTAGTCTCACTAACAGCTCACTTTGTATTGCAGGTAGAGGTTGCTAGTCTCACTAACAGCTCACTTTGTATTGCAGGTAGAGGTTGCTAGTCTCACTAACAGCTCACTTTGTATTGCAGGTAGAGGTTGCTAGTCTCACTAACAGCTCACTTTGTATTGCAGGTAGAGGTTGCTAGTCTGACTAACAGCTCACTTTGTATTGCAGGTAGAGGTTGCTAGTCTCACTAACAGCTCACTTTGTATTGCAGGTAGAGGTTGCTAGTCTCACTAACAGCTCACTTTGTATTGTAGGTAGAGGTTGCTAGTCTCACTACTGCTCTAGATGTCCTGTCACAGTGTCTCCTGAACAGTGCTAGTAAGTTAGCCACTAAACTTGTTGTCAGTTCCGTACTCTATTAACCTTGTCTCTATATAGTATAGTACTCTATTAACCTTTTCCTTCCTGTCTTAATTGACCAATTAGTTGATTAATTAATGATAACTTCAGAGAGGAACCTGACCCCGGAGGATCTGACCTCCTCTCTAAAAGCATGTGGTGTGGAGGTTACTATCGTTACACCATTAGTTATCAGTTACACTGAGAACAGGGACATACTCATTGACATTATCACCAGATCTACTGTACAGGTTTTTTTTAAAAGATTTTTTTCTTTAATTGTTTTTGCCACTCTTCAAATTAAAGCGTTTTTATCTGTCTTCTAATGCTTAATAAGTTATATATCAAATATGCTGCCATATCTCAACTTAAGCAATATTTATAATATTTTAAATTCCAGGCCCCGGAGTACAGGTCGATGGAATGGAGATTGGAATGTCAGGTGGGCTCAAGGTCACTTCACAACACTGTTATTCCAAACGTTCTGACAAAGTGGAAAATATCGGACCCTCGATTTAATAATGTGAGTGTAAACACGGCACCGTTATTAATGTGAGTGTAAACACGGCACCGTTATTAATGTGAGTGTAAACACGGCACCGTTATTAATGTGAGTGTAAACACGGCACCGTTAGTAATTTGAGTGTAAACACGGCACCATTAATAATGTGAGTGTAAACACGGCACCGTTAGTAATGTGAGTGTAAACACGGCACCGTTATTAATGTGAGTGTAAACACGGCACCGTTATTAATGTGAGTGTAAACACGGCACCGTTATTAATGTGAGTGTAAACACGGCACCGTTATTAATGTGAGTGTAAACACGGCACCGTTAGTAATTTGAGTGTAAACACGGCACCATTAATAATGTGAGTGTAAACACGGCACCGTTAGTAATGGAAGTGTAAACACGGCACCGTTAGTAATGTGAGTGTAAACACGGCACCGTTAGTAATGTGAGTGTAAACACGGCACCGTTAGTAATGTGAGTGTAAACACGGCACCGTTATTAATGTGAGTGTAAACACGGCATCATTAGTAATGTGAGTGTAAACACGGCACCGTTAGCAACAATACCCATATAACTTACATTAAATATACTCCTTCTGTAAGATCCTGAATTATCATAACTATTCCCAGCTGAAGACGAAGGAGACGTACCTGAACTGTGACGTGAACACGTTACAGCACATAACAGAGTCTCTGAGAGCTGCTCAACTGGAACTAGACACTCTACATGCCCGCAAAATGTGTAGGAACCTTGCTAGGATAGGATAAGTCGGGATTATTGGTCATGATGTTATTGTGGAAAGTTCGAATCATATTCATAGTAGTATAGCTACCAAAATTATATAATATCTTAAAATGTAACACCTTAATCTGGGAAGTTTCATTAAAGGCTCAATATGTTTCCGCTCTTGGACTCTCTAGTAAACTTTTTGTTTTAACTATTAATATTAATTGACATAAATGCGAGTTTTTACAATTTGAATGTTTTGATTTATGTTTTATTTTTTGATTATTTTATATTAAATTGTATTGATGGATTATTTCCCCAATTAAATTGTTGATACTTTTTTTCCTCTTTAAGGGGGCCGGGGGGGGTCTTCATCAAAATTCTCTCGAAATTGACTTTGTAGTTGTTTCTGATGGAGGGGAGTGATATCTATCAGCTGTTTTTGGTCCCATGCAAAAAAATTGTTCCTAGCCGAAATTATTGCCGGTCAAAGGTCAGCGCTTATGTGTAATTGTATTGCGCGAGCGATTTTCAATCGCGCGCCCTGAAAATCGAGTCTAAAAATCTATCTTCTACTACATTTTTTGAGTAATCATCCTGAAACTTTCAGGATATGTTCTAAGGACCATTTAGAAGAGATTGTCGGGCCAGAATTTTGAGATAGGCCTTAGAAAATTTTTTATTCGATTTTGAAAATCTTGGACCTCGTATTTTGACGATTTTTTCAGGTCCAAGATTTTCAAAATTGAATAAAAAATCTCTTCTAAATGGTCCTTAGAACATATCCTGAAAGTTTCAGGGTGATTACTCAAAAAATGTAGTAGAAGATAGATTTTTAGACTCGATTTTCAGGGCGCGCGATTGAAAATCGCTCGCGCAATACAATTACACATAAGCGCTGACCTTTGACCGGCAATAATTTCGGCTAGGAACAATTTTTTTGCATGGGACCAAAAACAGCTGATAGATATCACTCCCCTCCATCAGAAACAACTACAAAGTCAATTTCGAGAGAATTTTGATGAAGACCCCCCCCCCGGCCCCCTTAACTGTAATTTAAACATAAAAACTGTTGACTATTTTGTGATATCATTTTGTGATATCACTTTTTATCAAGTGAACACTATAACCCCCCAGTTCCATAGCGGATATTATGCCAAATTATTAGACGGAGGTCCATTTCCCGTAGATCATCTTCGGAGATTATTCTCCGGCTCCGTCTACTGTATTAGACGGAGATGAAGCTCTCCGGGAATTTCTAAGAGATTAATTCCCGGAGACCAACGCGCGCGGGCGAATTAGCTGTCTTTCCGAAAAGGTATAACAAATTTGGTACTGTGAAAATTCTCACAGTCTCTAGAAAACAATGGTACAACAAATTTTAAAATCCGAGCAAGTTTATTTTTATCGTGCACCCCCTAGTAGATGGTCTCCGGATAAGGTTATGGAACTGCAAACGGAGAAAAATCAGTAGACGATCTCCGTCTAATAATTTGGCATAATTTCCGCTATGGAACTGGGGGGTAACATGTATAAATTATATATAATATAAATTATATGATGGCAAATTCTCAATAAGTTTACAAAGTTCTAGTAAAAGTAGTAGAACTACTACTACTACTACTACTACTATTACTACTATTACTACTATTACTACTACTATTACTACTACTATTATTACTATAACTACTACTAATACTACTACTACTACTACTATTACTACTACTACTACTACTACTACTACTACTACTACTACTACTACTTCTACTACTACTACTACTACTACTACTACTACTACTATTATTACTATTACTACTACTAATACTACTACTACTACTACTATTACTACTACTACTACTACTACTACTACTACTACTACTACTACTACTACTACTACTACTACTACTACTACTACTACTACTACTACTACTACTACTATTACTACTACTACTACTACTACTACTACTACTACTACTACTACTACTACTACTACTACTACTACTACTACTACTACTACTATTACTACTACTACTACTACTACTACTACTACTACTACTACTACTACTACTACTACTACTACTACTACTACTACTACTACTACTAATATTATTACTACTATTACTACTACTACTACTACTACTACTACTACTACTACTACTACTACTACTACTACTATTACTATTACTACTACTATTACTACTACTACTACTACTACTACTATTACTACTACTACTACTACTACTACTACTATTACTATTACTACTACTACTTCTACTACTACTACTACTACTACTACTACTACTACTACTACTACTACTACTACTACTACTACTACTATTACTACTACTACTACTACTACTACTACTACTACTACTACTACTACTACTACTACTACTACTACTACTACTACTACTACTACTACTACTACTACTACTACTACTACTACTACTAATATTATTACTACTATTACTACTACTACTACTACTACTACTACTACTACTACTACTACTACTACTACTACTATTACTACTACTACTATTACTACTACTACTACTACTACTACTACTACTACTACTACTACTACTACTACTATTACTACTATTACTACTACTACTACTATTACTACTACTACTATTACTACTACTACTACTACTACTACTACTACTACTACTACTACTACTACTACTACTACTACTACTACTACTACTACTACTACTACTACTACTACTACTACTACTACTACTACTACTACTACTATTACTATTACTATTACTACTACTACTACTACTATTATTACTACTACTGCAGGTAGCAATAATGCCTCTAGTAATGATGTGCGGATACCCCTGCTCAGGTAAAACAACCTTCACTCAGAAGCTGCAGAAGCATCTAGAAGCGTCTCACAAGACTGTGGTGGTTATAAGTGACGACTCAGTAGGGATAGACAGGAACTCTACTTACCACAGGTGGGATTAAATTATAGTATAATATTTCTATATTCTATATATATATTCTATAGTACCCAGGTGGGTGGTGTAGTGTGGATATCTAGTTTAGTATAGTATAATACTTCTATATTCTATATATATATATTCTATATATATATTCTATATATATATTCTATAGTACCCAGGGTAACGAGAAGGTACCCCCCCCCCCCCCCCCCCCCCCCGGCAAGTATAATATTTTTATTATTTCTATATTCTATATATATATATTCTATAGTACCCAGGGTAACGATAAGGTATCCCCCCCCCCCCCCCCCCGTCGTATAATATTTCTATATTCTATATATATATTCTATAGTACCCAGGTGGGTGGTGTAGTGTGGATATCTAGTGTAGTATAGTATAATATTTCTATATTCTATATATATATTCTATAGTACCCAGGGTAACGAGAAGGTATCCCCCCCCCCCCCCCCCCCGGCAAGTATAATATTTCTATATTCTATATATATATTCTATAGTACCCAGGTGGGTGGTGTAGTGTGGATATCTAGTGCAGTATAGTATAATACTTCTATATTCTATATAATATATATATATATATTCTATAGTACCCAGGGTAACGAGAAGGTATTTCCCCCCCCCCCCCCCCCCCCCCCCGTCAAGTTTAATATTTCTATATTCTATATATATATTCTATAGTACCCAGGGTAACGAGAAGGTACCCCCCCCCCCCCCCCCCCTCCGTCAAGTATAATATTTCTATATTCTATATATATATTCTATAGTACCCAGGGTAACGAAAAGGTATCCCCCGGCCCCCCCCCCCCCCCCCCCCCCCGTCAAGTATAATATTTCTATATTCTATATATATATTCTATAGTACCCAGGGTAACGAGAAGGAGCTGAGAGGTGACCTCCGGTCTCAAGTTCAGACACATATCTCCAAAGAAACTGTCGTTATACTGGACTCTCTCAACTATATAAAAGGTTGTTATTTCTCTCTTAATTGAACATACTTTTACAACCTCTCCGAGTTTTTACAACCCCCAAGGATTTAGTCAAGACTTCAGGTCTCACACCACGCGATGTGACGTCACACCACGTGATGTGACGTCACACCATGTGATTACAACCTCTTCAGGTCTCAAATACGAGTCGTACTGTACTAGCTACCCTCCTCAGGATTTAGGTACGAATTGTTTTGTATCAGTAAGAGCTCCAAGACCCCTCACTGTGTTGTACACACTGACAGAAAGCCTGAAATATGTAATAAATGGAATGAAGCTAACTCGCATTATAATCCAGGTTTGTTAAACTTAACTAAAAATAGGACTTACTTTTTAACAATATTTAATGAATCTTGCATGTTAAGATTCCTATTTAAAAACTAAAACAAAATTATTAATTCCTAACCATCCTCCGTGCGTTTCAATATTCCAAGTTTGTTTTTTGTTTTCCTTGTCGTATCATGTTTGTTTTTCTTATATCAGATTCTTGTCACTTGGTTGCTCTCTGCGTTTCTTGACAATTGAGTATCTTCAAATCCGCATTAACTATCTTACTCAGTATTATATTCCGTTTGCAACTTTGTGTTATCTCCAGGACTGATAGACGAGCTGGTGATGTGACGTCACACCACGTGGTGTGACGTCACACCATGTGATGTGATGTCACACCACCTGATGTGACGTCACACCACCTGATGTGACGTCACATCATGTGTATTATATTCCGTTTGCAACTTTGTGCCATCTTCAGGACTGATAGAGGAGCTGGTGATGAGGTTTGAGAAACCTTACCCCGGCCAGAGGTGGGATAACCCTTGTTTTGTAGTAACTGAGGAGGAAGTGGACGGGGTGGTGAAACTGGTGGCAGATCACCTTTTCAGTGGTGGTATGTTGGCTTTCTTTCCAGCTTTGGCTTTTTTGATTTCTTTGCCATTTTGGTTTCGCAATTCGCATCCCCCCTTCTGAAATCTGAATTCAGTAGAATATTTTGATTACCCTTCATAATGATGTCCTTGTTACACTCAACTGTCCAGGAGCACCTCGCCCTAACCAGTCCACCCAAAGTCAAGCCTTATCTCCTCCTGATTTCCTCCATCAGCTAGATACCAGTACTCAGGAGGTACTGGACGTTATCAGCTCACAGCAGAGTCTGGGGTCTACTTCTTTCAAAATACCAGGTCTACTTTTATTGCTATTATTATGAGGGGGTTATTCGTCATATTATAGTTGAGATCGCAACATTAAAATCACATAATATCATGAGTGCCGTGTTTATTGGTTTACATTAAACTCCCCCCCCCCCCCCCCCCCCCCCCCTTACTTCCGCCCGTCCCCTTACTTCCCCCCGGCCCCCTGCCCCCTTACTTTCCCCCGCCCCCTCCCCTTACTTCTCCCCCCCCCCCCTTACCTAATCAGTATAAATACTTCAGGACTAGAGGACCCTCTGTCATTTAACCGTAACATCAACATAGCTCAACTCCGCCGACTTAAGAGACAGTTCATCACGTACACTAAGGCTCACCCGCCCAGTGATATGACTAAACTGAAAGAAGGCTTTGTACTTTATTTACAAAGTATGGTGTGACGTCACGTGAGTTCTG